GGTGCATTATTATAATAATATATTAACTAAATGCATTATCCAAAATTTACGATTACTCAAATTTGGGAAGCATGTGCAAATGTGCTCATGCACCAAACCCTAAATTATTGGATCAATCGTCACCTTTCCACTTAGGGCATAATGGTCACTGGTCACTAACCTCTTTATTGTTCTTCTACTTCCTTTATTGGACTCTAAATTATTTAAGTAATATAATCAACAAAAAGACTAGATGAATTTGAACTTTTTACATATAAATGAGTCAACTCGACTTAAAATTATGGGCTAAAGTCTCAAAGAGTTTGTTGATTTTGAACCTCTTAAGTATACGAGATTTGATGTGATGTATTCGATAATCAATATTCAACTATCATACAAGACAAGTTATGCATGTAATATGAGATAAATAGTTTAAGTAAAATTACTTGTTGCAACCAGAGAAATTAGCATGGTGATCACAAGTTCCTTTCCATTTTGTTGGGGGTAGTCCAAGCCCATCGTCCTTAAAGCTCTCTGACTCTGGAGTGATCCCTATAACAAATAACCAGTAATTAAGTACAATTTCATAATCTAGTCTCGGTTTTTATTTTAGGGAGTGAAAAATGACGATAGATAAACAATGATTGTTTTTGTAAGACTAAAAAAAGTTTTGCGCATCACTAATAAAATGATGTTATAAGAATAAAATTTCATCCTACAATATGATATGTAACTTTTTTGTAAAATTATTAGTATCACTCATAAAGTCAAAATCACCTTTAAAACAGACTTATAATAATACCATACCATTGATCTAAACCTACATATTACCGCACTTACTAAATCCCTAATTAGTCTAGTAATATAAAATTTCCAAAATTAATTACCTGTATCAAAAAGACCAGCAATGATATTACTCTCAGTCTTCAATTTTCTCTTAGCTGATTGAGGAAATCTAATAAAATCCCATGATCTTGTTGTGTGCAGCTTGTGATATTTGTTTTCAAATATCCATAGTACCTCTTCCATATCTACAAAAATTATATTAACTTAATTAATATTCATCTCAAATATAAATTCCAACCATTATATTTTTTAAACAATAGAAAAAAATTAAATAAAATTATAAAACTATTTAGTTATAAGATTGCATATATAATAATTTAGTACAAACCAGACAATGATTTTGCTTCATAATTGTATAATTTTGCAGCAAACGCATTGAAGCTTCTATGATAGCTATGAACTATTGATTCTCTAGCTTCGAATTCACTACAAAATAAAATAATACATCAATAATTAGTTCTACTTATAAATTACAACAAAGATGATCATAAACTAAACCATATAACAATGGACCAACCTTCCTTTTAGATTAGAGAGTACATTAATATGTGCTCGATTCGCCGTTGCTTCATCATCTGGTGGATGATTTCCCAAGTAAACAATGTAAAATTTCTACACCGTATAAGAAAAATAAAACCACATTAATTATATTATATACTTCTATACATATTATGGCTGTTTAATTAATTAATTACAAAGTATATATATAAATTTGATGAAAAATTAAAGCAATATGTAGCTGCCATGCAACCTTTTGGTCGTCATTTTGGTTGATTGTGGCAGCTAAAATATTGGAGAATGAAACAAAGAAGATGATGAGAAGAATTTTGAGGAAGTTTCCTAATTCTGAAGGCATGACTTCTTTGTCAAAAATAAATAGTGTGTGTGCTTTGCTTTGGTGTAGTTTATGTTATCTATTTATGCGAATTGAATGTGTTATTTACTTATTTAAAGATTAAGATATCCCATGGTTGCTAACAACGAGTAGTAGTCAAGATTTGAGATCGAATACTGTTTCCCTACGACACTCCCTTAATAAAAAGGTCACTTATGTATTGACGACTTAAATTTTATTTTTTTTGACTTGAGTCATGTGTGAATATCATAGTTGTATTAAAATTTATGTTAAAATTTTTCGACACATAAGATTTAAACCCGTAAAATCACAGTCTCCAATGATAATTCAACTCAATCAAAAATTTAAGCAGATTTTTCAAGTTCTATGTTAGTTTTATAATTCAACCTCTATATCAACTATTCAACTCATTTAAAAAGTTACTCCTTAAAGTTTGTAATAGTTGTAATAACTTACTAAATCTAGCTTGAAAATGGTCTAAATAAATATTTTAGATGGATCTGAAGATATATAGGGTGGAATTTTTGCAAAGCAAAATTCATCATATCCAAAACAATTGTCTGATATTAAAAAAATATATCATAACAGTATGGTCAACATCTTTGCCCTAAAAATTAGATCATACCGAGCACAATACTATCAAGGCACAGAGAAAGTAGTAAAATTTTAGGGGTTAAGTCACTTAACTATCAACCAATGAACACTAAACTTGCAGCAACCACAAACATGTCTTGACTTGAAATACAAGTAATTATTAAGCTTCATCTAGGTTGCAGTTTCATTCTAATACAGTATGAAAAAGAAATCATGAATTCATGTGAAATAATAGTTTATGCAAATGCCAGAATTATTTATATATTAATTCTTTTTTTTTAAAAAAAAAAAATTTCGATCAATCGAGCAGTTGTTAGAGCGAGGAATCAATATTATTATTGTACTTTTGTAGATCAATGGTTAACTCTTTGTACGTAGTATGTAAGTTTTATTCGACACATGGATAAATATAAATCCACATCACTTGTATAACTGTATAAGCTAGCTAGAATTACCTTCACTTCTAGAGCTGGCAAAAATTTGTGTCGTGTCGTGTTTGTGTTTAGTCTGGTGTCAATATCGTATTGTTCATAATTTGACCACTTTATCTAAACGGGTCATGTTCGGATTTATTTCGTGTTGTGTCATGTCAATTTCGTGTTTTCTCTTAGTAACTTTGTGTTTGTGTCGTGTCGGTTTCAGTCGTATTGTCGTGTCGTGTCAGATATTGTCAGATCTATTAATCACTTCCCTCAAATTTAATTTACAAATTAAACTCCTCCCAAAATAAGAACTGTCCCTTCATTTTCTTTGCAACATTGTATAGTAAAATCGAATTATTAATTGAGATCCAAGCAAGAGAGAGTACTGTTAATCCTAATTCAATTCGTTGTTGTTAAGAACCAATTCATAAATCAGTTCTCAATGGTCCTAGTGAGTAGTGACGCAAATTTCCGTATGATCGACCAAAAGAGTAAAACGAATTGTTTTTTTTCTTTGCCAAGTTTTCATGACTTTCATATTTCTATAATGAGTTTATAACCATACTTAATATGAAATCTTATTATATTACTGTTGAAGAATAAACCGCTCAAGTGTCACCACATGTAAGTGTCCCACATTGATTGAAGAAGAGAGAATTAAACACTTTATAAGGCTAAGGGGGCTACTCCTCCTATTGCCATATGGTTTTGGGATGGAACATCCTTGGACTTGTGAAGTGGGCTCTCTCTTGATTTACGGGTGCGACCCAAATCCGCGTTTAATAATTATCTTCCTTTGTTTTTTTATAGTTACAACACTTTATTTATACAATTACAAATGCAAAAGACAAACAAATGTCTGGTCTCATGTTTCTTCTTTTGGTATAGGTTATTATTATTATTATTATTATTATTATTATTATTATTATTATTATTATATCTCAAAAACAAAAGTCATACAACCTACAATAGATTAGTACGTGCTCCAATGTCTTGCGTCGTCGAGAACCTCTGAATTCGCTTAAGTAACGCAACAACCTCCTTCTCTAATTCACCAAACGAAGAAAAGGAGAAGGGAATGAACCCATAACCAATTGCCTGACAACGAGCTTTTTTTTGAAAAACGTTAGGCCGATATTATAATAAATCATTTTCCGCCAAAGTAGAAATGCTTTGGGGAAAAGAGTCCAAACATACAAGTTCATCATTCCCGCAAGTATCCCATCTTGCAATCAGATGGGCTACGGTATTGCCTACACGTTTTACATGTGTAATACTACAGAAATCAAAAGATTCTATGAGCTTAAAAATGTCATCAAAAATCAAACAGAGATGAGACATTCCTGTGATCATCTTGTCCACCCTACGAGCCACGGAAAGAGAGTTGCTTTCAACCCACACGCATCTATACCCGAGTCTTCTAGCTACCTGAAGGCCATATCGAACAGCAGCAGCCTCTGCTTGTTCAACACTCCACTCACCAACAAATTTGCGAGCTGCAGCAAGCTGAATCTCACCTCTTGAGTTCCTGATAACGGTCCCTAAACCAACATAAGAATTTGCAGTTATGTGGGCATCAACATTGACCTTGAAAACACCATTTGGAGGGCACACCCAGCTACTGGCAGAGGGGAAGTCTGTTACCGGAGGCAGGTTAATCACTTTGTGCGAATATGAGCTGTAGTCAGAAGCATTTTTCACAAAGCTAATCGCCATGGAGATAGTATCCAGCCTACAACGAGCCTCATATTATTATTATTATTATTATTATTATTATTATGAATCCCTCCTCACGAGGAAAATTCCTAACGCGTCTGAGGATCAATGATAATAGATAAGGTATAAAGATGGGGAAATACAAAGAGAAGTATCCATGTCATCACTAGCAAGAAGACTTGCATTTGCTATCTACTTAGCTGCTTTGTTTATTTCTCAATAAACGTAATTAATTTTTCATGGTTGAAACTTTTGAAGGAGAACTAGGACGGGATTTTGCCACTAAATAGACCAAACTCCTTTGACTACATGACTACTAGAAGATTATCATATTCGATGAGTAATGTTGAATCTCATGCCAGAGAGTAAGAAGGATGCCTTTATGGAGAGATGTAGCCAAAAACAATGGTGTTGCCGAAGTCGAAGGCGCAAGCCGTGACAGGAGCACTGGTGCTATATCGGAAGATGGCACTTGTTTGTTGTTGAGTGAATCGTCGAATGCCTCATGTATTTAATACCTGTTCTGATATATTGAACTGAACTGTTTACAAGAGATTGAAATTAAGAATTGAATTGAAATCAAGCCAAACAAAACATGTCCTTAGTCACTTGCAAATGTACAATCGTACGCCATGGTGTGCACTAGACCCGATTGCATAACCTTGACCATATTAGTATTTCTCATAATTAGCCACCAACCTAGCTAGTGATAAACCCATGTTCATGTTTGTGATTCCCCGCCAAAACCTCCGCCACCGTCTTTCTCTCTCCTCCCTTCTTCGCCACCTCTCCACCACCACCACTTCCTCCAAACTCCACACCAAATACTCCTTCACTCCTCCTCCCTCTCTCTCTCGCCAAAACCCTAATTCTAACCCTAATTCACCTTCCCAAAACCCCAATTCATCAACCAAAATCCGCAAAAAGCCCCTTTACCGCCCTCCATCAACCCTCGATACCGGCGGAAAGCCCTTACGATCAAACCTTCCCTTCGATTTCCGGTACAGTTACACTGAGAGTAACCCCTCTGTGAGGCCCATTGGGCTTCGCGGGCCCAAGCACTCTCCGTTTGGGCCGGGCCGCCTTAAACGGGAATGGACTGGGGTTTGTGCTCCGGTGAAGAGTCCGAGGGTTTTGTCTGTAGACGGGGAAGTGGAGGATGATGATTCTAAGCTGGAGGAGAGAAGGAGGTTGACGAAAGAGAAACTTCTGGGTAAGCCATTGACGGATGCTGAGAAGAAGATTTTAGTGGACAGTTGTCAGAGGGGTAAAGTCAAGAAGCAAGTGAACCTGGGTAATTTGAGTTTTATGGGTTTCTCTTTCTGAATTTTGGATGATTTTATGTGCACTTTAAGTGTTTGATGAAATGCCCAGCTGAATATCGATATTCTTTTTGATGTACATTTATTAATTTTGTGTTTCTCTATAGTATGCTGGATAGTTTTTGGGTAGTTTGATCATATAATTGTATGGGGTGTTTTTTTAATGTGTTTAATGAACTGCCCAGAATTTGTTTGGCAAAGTTTTATGATAGTATCGTGCTAGCAAGTATTGATTTTTTATGCTTACTCTGGATTAAACTTGATGAGGATATTAAATAATATGTCAAGCTTAATTCTTCTAATACAATTAATGCGCTCTCCTCTAATCCTCTTTGATCCAATGATGGGTTTAGTAAGTACTTTGTATATTATAATGCTGAAAAACTCTGAAGTGCATGGTGCAACGCGACTGAGATGGTTGTGTTTTGTTTTAGGGCGAGATGGTCTGACTCACAATATGTTGAATGATATTCACAATCACTGGAAGGATGCTGAGGCAGTGAGGATTAAGTGCATGGGAGTGCCAACTATTGATATGGAGAATGTTATAACTCAGCTCGAGGTTTGTTTGCTTAAATTTATGATTACAAATTTTACAATTTGCAATGCCAACAACTACTATTGTCATAAAGTGGAGGTGGGTTTAGAATGATTTCATATATGAATTGTGAAACATCATTTAATCGGTAAGGCTGATATTGGAGTATTTCTATTACGAAGTTTCTTGCTGTGCAAAGGACAAGAAATGATGTAAGATTTTTCAGTTTTAAGATTCCAAACATAATCCATTAGAGTTATATGATTAGCTTATAATCAACTATATATAGACTTGTCCTGCTGAAGTGCTAATATTGGAAACTGATAAGCGAGAGCTAGAATTTGTTTTCTGGTTTTAGATGACCTTAATTAAACTGAACTGTCAACACCATCATACAGAGGCTTAATTAGATGATTAACTAGACATCTTTTTGCCTTAAAATGACAACCGAACTAAATTTAAGTTACATTCCCTCTATGGCCTTTGTGTTTTGTAAATTCTAGTCTTAGAATCTCATTTCTGTGGTTTACCAACTGTGTGCATAGCTGATAATATCTAATTTGTTCATTGTAGGATAAGACATTTGGCAAGATCATCCACAGGCAAAGTGGTCTTCTTGTTCTGTACCGAGGTAGGAACTATAAATTTAAGAAGAGGCCTCTGATTCCATTAATGCTTTGGAAACCCCAAGAGCCTGTGTATCCAAAGCTAATTAAAACTACGGTTGAGGGATTAAGCATTGAAGAAACCAAGAAATTGAGAAAAAGAGGATTAGCTGTTCCTGCATTGACTAAACTCAGTAATTTTCTGCTCTGTTGAGTTTGTAGATACTTTTAATTATTTTTTTTTTCTTTTCTAATTCATGCAATGAAAAATGCAGGTAGAAATAAATACTATGGTGGCCTTGTAGTTATGGTTCGAGATGCTTTTCTTGTGCAAGAGCTAGTTCGGATAGACTGCACTGGTCTTGACAAGAGTGATCACAAGAAAATAGCCGTTAAACTTAGGGTAATTTCTCTGTGCTTCATTGATGTTTTTAGCTGTGTTGAGCAAACTTTGCACATATCTTCTAGCTGTTGAAGCAATGTTACATAGAAATAAGAGGGATAATGAATTCAGTGATGAAGCAAACCTACTCTAATGACATAGATGTTTAATGTTGGTTCCACTTTAATAACAACATTGTATCCATTATGGACAAGGGAATGCTGATTTTTGCTGTACTAAATTAAAGTAAAAACAGGGTAAGATAAAGATCTGCTTAGTGCTGAGAGGCAAACTGTGCAGTGAAAGAAACAAGATGCTGCAAGATGGCTGGACAGCTAAGATAAGTAAATCGGTTTAATTATCTGGAGGTATATATGAGGTAACTCAAAAATCAAATAAAAGTCAATAGGTGGGTTTGAATAGTCTGACAAATAAGATCAGTGATGAGGAATATCGATTCCCGTGGAAAATCGTGGTTCTTAATCACTTTTGAAGCTTCTTTTGACCATTGATGACTCTTCATGCTCTTTGAATTTGTCTACCTTTCAACATAGCCAGGGCTCATTTCAGATAACCAGAATTCTTAGTGGTTGGCCAGCCAGAAACGGTGACGCTTTGGCGTCCCTAGCATCTGTTTACTTGCTCCGGTTGGATCTGTTCTGATTACTGAAAATGCCCTCCTTTCTATAACTTGTATGGGCATCTTATAAAAGGGCTATATAAGCTAAGTTAGCTGAATTTTCTTTCTTAGGCATTCTTTCATCAAAAATCTTCTTTCATGAAGCATAGGGGATGTAGAATCTCACCTTTCATACTTCTAAAAAACTATTTTGAAAAGTAGACATCTTTAATATAGAGTATGTTATTATGGTAGTCCAGCTCTGTTATTGAGGTGTAGCAAAGTACTGTCAATGGCATATGAAATGAATAAGTTTGACATGTGTTGACCCCTAACCAGTACGAATTATATTAACAAAAGCCTTTACTCTCTGTGATCTGGTGTCTTTTCAATTGGAAGAAATTTTGCCTCAAATTCCCTTGACCACTAACTGATCAATAACTACATTGAATGCTAACAGTTCTGATCTGAAATTGATGGCTTTGTTTTTATTCTGTATAATTATTTATACATCTCTAGTTTTGATTCTTATGTTGTTCTGACTCTTGAGTATGTTTATACTTCATTGTAAAGTCCAATGTCGGCAATGTGTATGTACTTGACTGCTGTTACGAACTTGTGATGAATCGTATAGATTTTCGTTTAGAAGGAATTTTGTTTTTTTGGTTAGTGTCTTAGTGATAACATGGCAGATATTTTTGTTTTGCTACTTTCCTTCATGTCCATGAAAAGGGAGTAATAAGCATAAGTTATGTCAAAAATTGGATAGTGGTGGATCAGTTGTTGGCAAGTGGAAAATCAATTTTCATTGAACTGCTGCTGAACCAAACCAAGTTTCCTGGAGCATGATATGAATTAAGATTGCCCAGAATCCACATTTGGTTCTGTTGCAGCTTTGGATGATATTTGGTGCCTATATTTATTTGGGTTTTTGCACATCTTTGAGCAATGATTTTTTATAGAATTAGATTTTTTGCAGTAATTTTTCGTGAACAATGAAAGTGCTATTTACCCAGTTAATGAGCCTTATTCCTGTGAGATACATATGCTTGTTTGCTACAGCTCATACAGTCTTTAATCTGCTTTATAATGCTGCTTGTATTGCAGTACTCTGATTGTTTATCACCAAATTGTTTACAGGACTTGGTACCATGTATCCCTGTTATTCTTGAAAAGGAACAAATTGTAGTGTGGAGAGGACCAAACCACGAACCTACGGAAAATAGGCCTATTCTTACAGCAAGGGGGTCTGTTGAGAATTCTATTGATAATATGATTTGGGATTCTTGAGGATGTGAGCTTGTGTATCTGTAAGCTCAAGGGGGACCCTGGGAGCAGTGACTAGATCCAGCTTTGGTGGTACAATTTGTCTAATGTCACGGAAGCTTGGTGATGTAGATGTTTACATGGTTGATCTGCTTGACTGCTTATTAAGCATGTGGCATTGTGGCTTCATCCAGATCTAATAGCATGTGGCTTCCCCTTTTTCTGCTTCCCCTTTCAAAAGTGCTGGCAGCCTGGTTGCTAACCAGAGATATCCCCACCTGGTTGCTAAGAGATTACACGGTTGTTTTTAATCGAAGATGATTTTCTCCTGTTATTGGACCATCCGACTAATGGACGTATTCCTGAAGATCCCCTGGCAGCGTAATGGACAAGCGAAGTCTTGTAATCATTCTTCCCCTAGAAGACAATTGTGCAATCAGAGTAAATTAGAATTTGGAAATGTTGATATTTTGCAATGAAAAGGACTTAATAATGTTGTGGATATGACTATATCACTAGATTTTAATTAGTTTATTTAGTTAACTTTGTAAAGTATGCCGTGTGTGTGTTTTTTGGAGTTTTATAATTCTGTGGACATAATTAGTTTCCGTAATTGTTGCTAATTAAGTGAATTTTGAAAAGCATGAGCTATGCCATGTGTTGTATTTGGATCTTTATCAAATTTTAAAAGTAATACATTTCACTATTTTGTTTTAATAAATTCACACTTGCTTTTTAGGTGATTGTGTTTGTTGAAATTGAAGCTAGTTGCTCAATGAAATCATGCACGAACAACTGTACGTAGTGTATCACATGCCAAAACTTAGGAATGAAAACCAATACAATTAACAAAGCAAACCTTGATATTAATTTAACTTTGGCAGCATATGAATATGTTCACACATGACATCAATGTTTTCTTAATTCATAAGGATATGTTATGTTGATCTTATTTTCGAGTATTTTGGTTAAAAAAAAAACCGTAAGTCTAGATTACAACTATTATATACTCCGTATTTTAAAAAAAGTACTCCTAATTTCATTTACCAAAAATAAGTTAATTAAGTTCAATCAAGTGTTTAATCGAAAACATTATTTTCTTGATTTTATCTTTTAGAACTCTTTTTAAACATAATTTTTCTTGAAATTATCCTATAAAAACATTTAAAAGAAATAAAATGAACAAAATAGGGTTATTAATACACAAAAAAATGATATCAATTAAAGTGGACCAAATTACAATCTCGCTATCAAAATTTTATAATGGGGAATATGCTAGACTGCTAGTGATATCCAATTTGATTTGGTTATTTGTAACCATAAGACAAGAACCAAATCAAATTAAAAATTTACAATTTTGATCAAATTAAAATGTCCTTTTGCCCTTTTTCCAATTTTCAAATAGCCTCCTCCACAAAATAAACCGCGTCTCTGTTACTCTCTTTCACCAAAACCCCAACTCACTCTCTCTTTCTCTCTCTAGATTGTCTGATTTTCTGCCTTTTTACTCAAAAATAAATTCCCAGAATCTTACCAAAAATCAGGCAGCATAAAATTAATTTGGTCTCTTTTGCCAAGAATCCCCTGTTTTTTCTGCTCTCTACTTTGTCTCCTTCAATCTAGGAATTTAGAATTTCCTCAAAAATGGCGGATCATAATCTTACCACCCCATTTTTGACCCAGGATGGAAATAGTCAAACCCCAGCAATTTCAGATTCAGAAAAATCCCATCTTGTTCTTACAATCGAAAACCCTAACTCAGAAAACCCCCAAATCAATTTTCAAAACCCCTTTGAATTTCTGGGTGTTGAAGGGTTTAATGATCACCCTTCTACCTCTGCTGATCCTTTCAGAAATCATACCCTGAAAATTGTTGGGGTTTATGAGTGGATTAAGATTTTAATTTGTATCCCAATTGCTGCAATTAGGCTTGTGTTTTTTGGGTTGACTTTATTAGTTGGGTATGTTGCTACTTTGATTGCTCTTCAAGGTTGGAAAGATAGGAATAGTCCTATGCCTAGATGGCGTTCTAATCTTATGTGGGTCACTCGATTTAGCTCTCGTTGCATACTGTTCTCTTTTGGGTAAGTTTCATTTTAATCTTCCTTCTTTTTTTGATGATTTGGATTGAGAATTGTTTGAAATGTTGTGTTATTTTTATGCAAATTGTTGGTATATACTGTATTTGGTTAAGATTGGAATTTGAGTATTTGATGTTTTAGTTTTGTGTGGAAGTAGTTTTCATGTATAATGTTTTTTTGGGTTGTCTTGAAAAGTAAGCCGAAGGAACTTAATGATTTAATGACTGGATTTCTTGAAATGTCCTTTGATAAGATTGACCATGGGAAAGAATGTGGAATGATTGTAGTATATTCATGGTTTTCTCTTTGATTATGAGTAGTTGCGATGATATGACAACTAATTCTGGATGGTGGGATGATTTTAAACGGAGTTCTTGCGGATATAATTCATAGGTTGAACTCATTGGCACACCCAGAATAGTGGAATATGTGCTTGAGAATGCATAGTAGTTTTGTTATGAATTTTACAGGAGATATGAGATTGGTTTTGCAAATTTTGTGATTGCTTTGCCAAGGAAGCTTCCTTGGTTTGGTGTGTTACCTGCCTCTATGTCTTCTTTTGTTTTTCTTTTTGTGTGCGTACTAGAGGAAATTCATGGCGACATTTTGTTGTTTTCTGTGTTGCAAGCAAATTCATTATTATGCTGTCAGCATTTCAAGTTAGTGTTTATCTGAAATCTTTCTATTTTGTTTTAGGTACCATTGGATAAGACGCAAAGGACGGCCTGCACCGAGAGATATTGCTCCTATCATTGTTTCAAACCATGTATCATACATTGACCCAATTTTCTATTTCTATGAGTTGTTCCCTACAATCGTTGCGTCTGATTCCCATGACTCAATGCCTGTAGTCGGGACTATTATCAGAGCTATGCAGGTATTGACTTTACTGACTTAATTTTCTTCCTGATTCTTTGTACCTTTTAAGTTCTTGTGTTCTTGGTATAGTTATACGTTGCCCTGTGGGTAAATTAAAAATCTATCTTGCGTTGAAGGCCAATGAATTAGTGACTGATGTTTGCTCGATTATATATGACTTTTGCACTCATATTATAATCATGATTGATTGCTTTTGTTTACAGGTTATATATGTGAATAGGTTCTCACCTTCATCAAGGAAACATGCTGTTAATGAGATAAAGGTACAGGAACCTGTGGCTCTTTCTGATCATCTAATGTCTTTTCAAAATACATGTATTTGTCTTCCTAATGGCCTCATGTTGTTTTTCAGCATGTAAATCTAATAAGACTTGATTACCATGTTCCGTGTTGACTTCCTGAATTTCATTAGTATTTATCATGTTGTTTTTCAGCATGTAAATCTAATAAGACTTGATTACCATGTTCCATGTTGACTTCCTGAATTTCATTAGTATTTATTTTTTTGACTTAGCAAAGAACTTTTTTGATGAAGAGGGTTGGGACTGTCTATGAGTGCTAAAGATAGGAGCTTTGATATGCCCCTCCCTTCTCTTTTCCAAACTTAATTTTCCTTGTATAGTGATTTTTTGATATATTCCTACGATGGAGGGTATTTAGCTCCTAGACTGCTACCATTCTATCGATGTTAGTAGATAAATTACGGGCACATAAGAGATCATGATGGAACCAGTTCAGTGTTTAGTAATAAAAAGTTTGATTTGCTATTTGTTTATCAATTGTAAGGCATTTGATACAGAAATGTGCTTTCAAGGACCTGTGTACAGAGAAAGGCTTCATGCAATAGATTTCCTCGTGTTCTTTTATTTCCGGAGGGGACTACCACCAATGGAAGATTCCTTCTCTCTTTCCAAATGGGTGCATTCATTCCAAATCATCCAATTCAGCCAGTAGTAGTTCGATATCCTCATGTACACTTTGATCAATCCTGGTATAACTTTTACCATGTGTTATTATTCTTGAATTTTACTCAGTTATTAAAGCACCTTACTTTTGTTCTTGGTTAAATATTAAAGCATTGATTTTTCCATTGCATATCTAGGGGTAACATTTCCTTGGCGAGGCTGATGTTTCGAATGTTTACTCAGTTTCACAATTTTATGGAGGTATTCTTTCTTATCTATTTATTTATTTTCTGCTCTCTATCACATAGTGGCGTGGTGCTATGTGGCATCATTGACAAAATTAGGGACAATTCTAGTGATTGGATAATTGATGGTGTGATACTTCTTTCATTTTTGGGAAATTTGCGTATCACTGGCATAGGGAAATGGTAACACAACAAGGGGTTGAGCCTTAGCCTTGTGGCACAAGGGGGGAGAGGAGGAATGAGGTCAAGTTTCGGATAATACTCTTTTATGAGTTGTGCTGAATGAGGACAAGATAATATATGTATCATGATTAGCTTCTTTTTTCTCTCTTTCTTCTCTCTCTCTCTCACTGCTTGTTAGCTTAGAATGATGCCTGTTACTTAGAGCTACCTGCAAGTGTTGGATATTGGTACATGTCCAAGTGTGAGATCTTATAATTTTATGAAACATTTTCATGTTTATGGTCAATTATGAACTGTCAACTAGTGTTTGTATCAATATTTGACAATGCGCTGGTTTCTGAATTGGTCTTATGTTTAGGCAGTGTGATGAAGAACTTGTTTTTTGATATTAGTTTTGCTTTTCGTTGACCAGGTGGAGTACCTCCCAGTTGTACGGCCTTTGCACAGTCAAAAAGAAAATGTGCCTCTTTTTGCTGAAAGGGTGAGTTCATCCTGTGTTCTCCACTCCCCCCCCCCCCAAAAAAAAAAAAAAAAAAAAAAGAAAAAAGAAAACTCCGGGCATAGAATTACTTTTTAACTTTCATTTTTCGGATATATGCAGACTGCCCATGCTATGGCCAGTGCACTGAATGTTGTGCAAACATCTTATTCCTATGGGGATATGTTGCTTCTGATGAAAGCAGTTGAATTAAAGCAGGTGAGTGGTTTTATTAGTCTCTTGACATTTTCTTATAAAAAAATGGATTTGCTTACTATCAAGCTTTCAAGATTTATGCTTCTTTGTTGTTTGTTGTTTTTTTTTAAGCTGTGGGCTCTATACTGTAAGCTGAAGGATATTTCTATTCATTGTTAGTAGGTTAGGACATTTGTACTCTAGTAAAGTTTCAATGAAGATTTTTTTTTTTGGGGTTCCAATGTGGTGATACTGGTTATAAACTAGAATTAAACATAAAGCACATGCTTTCAGATTTGAAGTTGATGAATTGATTTTCCTGTTTATTCTCTTCCTTTTTCAAGAAATGAATTATGCTGCAGTTTTGCTGGCTCTGAATCTCCCTTTTGTCTTATTTAGCTTCCCTGTTCTGCCCGTGTTATAATTTAACTGGATGACTATCAGCTTACTTGGAATTGGCAATGTTATCTGTTGTCAGTATTTTAATTTTACAGATTCAGTTGTGCCATTTTATAACATTAGTGGTCAGTTTGATTCAAGGTTAATATAAGTTATCACTTGAGGTAGTGCATCCACTTCCCAAGCACGTGATTTTATTACTTACATTTTGACACCAATTACTGTTATGAACTTGTTTGGGCGAGTGGAAACGGATTAATATGGACATCAACCATAAAAAAATATATCATGTAATTTGCATCCAATTTCATCACTATTTCTACAATTGATGATCTTGTGCCAAATGAGCTGCAAATGAATTTGGTGTGACTAACATCTTACTTTTGCAAATCTCAGGAAAACCCTTCAAGATTTATGGTTGAATTGGGTCATATAAATTCGGTGAGTATATTTAAGCTACAAGTTATTTTTCCCCCTGGTTTTTAGAAACCAGAATTGAACTGTTTATTGCACATTGTACTTCTAGGTTAATGTATCAGTAGTAGGCATTTTATACATCAGATCACATTCATGACTAGGGATGTGCTTTTTTGTTGGTGCATGCATGATGCTAATTGCTATGGAGCAAAATAGCAAAGCCTCAGATTACAATTATCTGGGAGAAAGATATTGAGTATCAGAGGATTCAAAGCTCTAAAAAGTAAAATTAAGGTCTTTTGTCCAATGTGTTTGATATTAGAATACTATTCATAATGGTAATACATCTGTATCTCTATCACTGTACTAACTGCCTATTCAAATACTGATGTGATGCCTGCATATTGTACCTTTCTACATCTTGTTGTCATGTGTAATTGTATGCTTCACATGATGGTGCTTAGTCATGAAAAGATATACGCAGTACTTCTTTTTCTTTCATTTTCATGTACAGTCTTCTTGATAAACTTCCTAATTTACAGTCTTACCGCGTGAGCACTATGGAGGCTTTGGAATTATTGGAGAAGTTTATATCTATGAATCCTGATAGCAGGTATGTTTGGTTAAGTCCATGAATGATTATGACACAACACTAGTTACTGAGCAACTTAAGTTCTGACCTGTAAAAATACAATTTTTTTGAGCAGCAACTGACTAAAAGTCATTTATTTTAGAAACAATGAGTTGAAGAGAACATGGCTAAGTTTAATATTAATTATGCTTTATGTTGGTGAATATATGAATATTATAAGAGGTATATTGCAATCACCATTGAAATTCATCACTTCATACAGTTGCAATCACCATTGAAATTCATCACTTCATACAAAGTGCATATTTACTACTGAACTGTTATTGATTTGTAAATTCATACGATATGTTATGGCTTAAGTGATGTTATTTGGCAAATGGATGGAATTAATTGCTTTTATGTATAATTGTTTGATTTATACATACAACAAAACAATATTGTAGGACACTTGAGTATATGCTTTTCTTAATTTTAGTATAAATCATGTCTTCTACATTAGTTCTGGATAATTGTAGGATATAAGCAGATTCTCAGCCTTTTTTCCTTTGCAGTGGCTGTGTGGAGATTGGGGACTTCTTAAGAGTTTTGAGATTGAAGCCTTGTGGTTTATCTGAAAAGGTGTGTGCATATGCTTCTGAGATTTTTGCTTGGCTATAAGTGCAACTCTGAGTTTCTGGATACCCTTGTTGACAAACATTGGAAGTCTTACACGATTGGCATATGCCATTTTCTGTATCACAAAAATGATGGTGAAGTATTGTTGTTTTTGGGCAAAAGGTTGGAGGACCAAACCTTGAGCCCCTAAATTTTTACGGCCCAAGATCCACGACTGCGCTTTTGGCTGTGGTATAATATGTCGTCACAACTTCTAGTCATTATACCAAAATTTTCAGAAAATGAAGTTTTAAGTGTTTCTTAGAATTGTTGAAGCTAGAAGAATTAGCTGCCTTGGTAATATAGCAATGGGGACTCATTCACATTATTGTTATCCTTTTTGACTTGCAGATTTTTGCTTTTGTTGATATCGAGAAGATGGGAAAAATTACTTTCAAACAGGTAATGGCAATATTTCTGCTGTGTTACAAATTATATCTGTTTAGTATGTTCTGAAATTTTTTCCAACAAAACTTCATTCTCTTAAAGGTAGTTTTTCTCCCAGATTTACCTTGTTATGGGATATGTTTATGATAAAAGGGAAGAGGAAGAGGGGGATGCAAATTATTAGTTTTGAAATGTTGTGGTAGTCTTGAGTTGGGATTTTTTTTTTTTTTTTTTTTTTTTTTTTTTTTTTTTTTTTTTTGTGAACGACAACTTATTCATGGATGATGTTTTGCCTGCAGTTTTTGTTAGCATCATATCATATCAAGAAACAGCCATTATTTCATCGTGCCTGTGAAGTTTCTTTTGCCAAATGTAGTGATGAGATCCAAGATCACATATCCAAAGAAGAGGTTTGATATCCGGACCACTATGTCCAACCTTAAATAAGATCAAATTTCATATGGCTTAATTTCTTATTTATTATGATGCAGTTTGGAGATGTGATTCGACTGGGTATTCCAAATGTCAATGACCATGATGTAAGATCCCCCTCCCCCTTTTAAAAATTCTTGTATACCTTGAAAGCTGTATTCTCTTTTCTTTTACTCAAGTTCTTGGATCCTGTGATGTTAAAAAATTCAGATTAAAGAACTTTTCAATATGTTCGATATGGATGGCGATGGGAGAATTAGGAAGCACGAGTTTCTCTGCTGCTTAAGAAAAAACCCGCTGTTCATTGCCCTCTTCTCACCTCTTCTTCAAGATGGGCTCGAGTACACTAGCAATGGGCTGGAGATGGTTTGAAAGAAAATATTTGGTATCTTCATCGATTGCTGTATGATTGGTTTGCCATTATATGTTATATATATTCTTCTTCACTTCCCCTGAGCCCTGGAGTGGGTTTGCATATGGCAGATGGGTCTGAAATTTTTTGGCAACTTCAGATCCTTCATTTAGTAGTTTCTCGTGGTTGATGGTAAGCCAATTTGGGGGTGATTTTTTGTGTAATAGCATTAATTAGCATATTGAAATACTATGATGTAGCAATGGTTTTATGACAGGAAGTGTAGTGCTTTCTAATATACAGATTGTTTGATATACATATGTGTACTTCTATAACGTTTTGGACTCGAAGCTATGACCAAATATATTACTCGTATACGAGTAGTATGCTGTGTTACCAAATGCAATTTTGTAGTAATAGAATTGTACCAAGTGCAATGTAAGAATGCAGGAGAAAACTATAATTTTTGCTAAAGATTGGATACATTTTGCATCTTATTTATCGTCAAGTCTTGGATAAGATGGTTTCACACAATTATTTTGAGATTTCAAATATTAGAACGATTTGGAAAGAGTTTAATTAGGTACAACAATTCTTGTGTTGAAATATACGTCCATATTAAAGTTTTTAGTCGTGAATAGTTGTATATTGTTCTAAGAGAGAGATATCTTAACTAAACACCAAAGTTATGGTTAAGAATTACTCACTTAAACAAGGATAATAGTTCCTTTACACACACAAAAAAAAAATTATAGTAGTTGAGAAAGAAACTTCTCATTGTTTATAAAGATCTTTTCATTTATGTGACATAATTTTACAAGATTTGTGTGACATAGTAGGTCCTGGGATCGATTCTCACCCCCGCCCTTGTGGCTCTCTAAACACCAAAAAAATATTTCAAATGAGTCTTCACCAATATATATATATATATATATATATATATATATATATATATATATATATATATATATATATATATATATATATATATTTCAAATAAGCAACTTATTAGCAGACCATCTTGTAGTTGTCTACGTATAACAATTAAATCCCGCACACTAATTCAAAGTAATACTTGTAGAAGGGATGATGAAATGGGGTCATCATACCTTACAAGTTACGAAGTATTTTCTAAATGAGGGTTGAAAAAGTCTAATAGGGACGCAATTGACTAAACTGATTAAAAAAATTAGTGATTCTATTTCACCGTTCATCCAAAATCAATGGCATATCTATAAAGAGATATGAAATGAAATAAATTATTTTTCTTGTAAGTTTGTGGGCTGCCTCTTTCTTTTCTTTATATATAGGGAGTATGTCGTTTCCTATTGTTCTTTGTTTGAGTCAATTATACATGGACCTCAATAAGGACATAAAGTTATACTGCCTCTTTATGGCAAATACCCATATTTATTAGAAGTGTCCTTAATTTAGGTTAATGTTATGGGACCACATTTTAGTCCTTATCTTATATTAAGAACCCTTCTAATAACTTTATGGCAAATATTTATTTGAAATATTGATTAGGTTTAAGTATGATATTAAATCATACTAATTGATGAATAATTAATTAATTATTTTTAATGTAACATCATAATAGAGTTAATTGATAACACTAACTTTTAAATAAAACGGATGTTCAGTAATTACTGAACATCCGTTATAAAGTGACAATAAAATGCGCAAAAGTTACACTAAAACGCATAAAAGTTACCCTGATATATATATGAGTTATTTATGCTTCATTGATAAATTTGACAAAAGTGACACTAAATTTGACAAAAGTGACATTAAATCTGACAAAAGTGAACCCGTTGTACAGTAAATTACTGAAAACCGGGTGTATACAAAACTTTTCCAATTGATAAAGTCGAGAAAATCTACCAAAATATTTAATTCGATCTCTATCTCTCGGAAGGAGATATTGAGAAGAAAGCTTTTGAGAAGAGAATCTCTACTTCAAACACGTGGTAACCTTTGATTGGTCTGATCTAAAAAAAATAGATAAGATTGTACATGACTTTTCTTTGCATCCACTCATTTTGAAAGCACTATTCATAAAGGGGACTATGGTTGCATCGTTTCACACGCTTTTTAATAGAATAAATTAGCCTTCAAGTTGGAGTGTTGGTCCCCACACAAGTAGGACTTCAAGTCTTATCTATGAAGTTTTATCTTAACAATTACCGATTTTATCTTAAGATTCACCGTAAGTGATTAGGGGATTTTGCTCCCACCAATCGGAATGCGCCACGTGGGCCAATCAGGTCCTGCCAAGTGTTCCCCAGTTGGACCTCTCAGGGCTTGCCACGTGGCACACGCTTATTCGTCCGCCTTGGACCTATTATGTCATGACACGTGGCATACTCCATGCCTAATGGAGAAGTCGGCCACCCAGGCCCAACTTCCGAGGGAAGCCCAATCAGCCCAAGGTTAACCTAAACCTAGATTGGCACGTTTCCCGAGGTTATAAATACCTCCCTTAATCCTCATTAAGGGAGATTACGCAGATTACACACATTAAACTCTCTCACCTAGAGAGACCCAATCACTTTAATTTCCGCATTAATTACTCCTTAATCAAGTACTAACTTGACCGTCGGAGGCGGATCTCCAATCATCCGGAGCATCCGTTTGTTTTGCAGGTACAGGCGTCCGGTTCCAGTCTCGGAATTGTAACTCTCCCGCAGGACATCAGAAAACCCCGAAACAGTAAGCTCTCCAATAAAAGGTTTCTATGACATATGTAGGTACACAAGTTGATATATATTATGTGTATATTATATATTCATCTTTATGATTTATCTCTATATAGTATCCATGTGAGTTGGAGATGTACTTCCTAGTGCCTAGTAGCCCCAATCCTATTGACCAATTGAACACAAAGTTCGAGTATTTGTATTTCAAAACACAACAATATAATTGTACGGATTAGTCAAAATATATATACTTGATCAAAAAAAGGAATAATCTTATAAATTGGATACCAACTTCCATTGTCTTGAAAAGGAATAACAATGGTGGAGAGTCAGCCATATCATGGTTGAAAGAGGAAATTTAAATGCCTCATTTTAATTTTCTCTTTTATTTTGGGACCACCATATCACAATTTCACATGGCCTAATGTTAAAAAACAGCTATGTTTGAGGTGCTTATAAATCGACACTAAAAACTATGTCTTTTTTTGGACAGTTGTTAGAGTCGATAAAGACAGGTCTCTTGAAAATTCAACAAGAATCGTCGTTATAGCGCATATAAAGTTGGTACAATGAGAAACAGACGATTTATAATCATAGACTTCGTATAAGACACACATTTAATGATATTTTTCGGTATATACAGTAATTTTAGAAACAGATGAACGAGGTAAAAATTCTTTTATATCCTTATTACGGACTTACGGAGTAGTATTGTGTATATACTATTGTACTTGCAACTTGCAACTTCTTTGATAAAATTGACATCCAACATGAAAGAGTGAGATTTCTTGCTGACGCCAACAGATTTTCAGATGTATGACATCAAAATATAAAAATTATAAAGCGGACGGTAGAGATTTATTCTAAATAAAATTTCAGTATTTGAATAAATTAAGGTTACCGTTGGATAAGAATAGAAATTTGAGAAAATTAAGAAAAGTGAAGTATCTAAAAATAGAGAGGGTTGGTCGTATTCAAATACTAAAGGAAGAGTGGTCCCATGATCTCTGGAATTGGGACCCACAACAACCATGTCACTCTTTCAACTAGTATGCCCACTTGGCTATCTCACTTCACTTTCTGACAAGTGTCGCCACCACAACTACTTCACAAAATAATTTTTTATTTTTTTTAACAATTCAATATATTACGGCTGTTCAAATTTACTGAACTGATTAGAATTTAGAACTGAACAAATGGCCTGTTCATATTTACTTATTTTCAGTTCAATTCAGTTCAGTTCAGCTCCGCTCCAATCAGTTCAGTTCAGTTCAGCTTCAATCAGTTCAGTTCAGCTCTTAATTCCCTCTCTATTAAAATATTCATTTCAGCTTAGTTCAGTTCAGTTCAGTTCAGTTCAGTTCAGTTCCAATCAGTTCAGTTCAGTTCAACTCAGTTCAGTAAATATGAACAGGCCCTAAATTGATTGGAGGTGAATTGAACTGAGCTGAAATGAGTATTTTTTATATGAGAAGAAAATTAGAAGCTGAACTAAACTAAACTAAACTAAACTAAACTGAAATTAAGCTGAAGTGAACAAACTCGTACGTCTTGTATTTATATGGAGAACAAAATTATGGGTGTAATAAAAATATAAAATACTCCTTGTTTTTAGAAAAACTGTTCAATGTATTTTTGAGGTTTTAAAAAAATGCACTATCGTGTATCTTTAAGATTTGTAAAAACTTGCATCAAATACCCTTAGACTCACAATAAATGTTAATTTTGTTAAAAAAGACCCTTAAGCATCAAATTATATTAAATACTTATAGTTTAATGCTACTATAATACTAAACCTGTAAACCATTTATTTATAAAGTAAACTTAATTAATAAAGCAAATTCTAACACCTAATTTATGCTTTTATGTGGTTTTATTACATAAATATTAAGGTACTAAAAGTGAGCTATTGTGTAGGCATGGTTTTAATTTAATAAGGTCCCGTTCACTTCACCTTATTTTTGCTGAACCGAAATTATTTTTGCTCAACTGAAATTATTTTTACAGAATTGCTATTATATTTCTTTGTTAAGTTTACTGATTTTTTACTGAACTGAAATTATTTTTGCTTAACTAAACTTACTTTTACTGAACTGAAATTATTTTTACTGAACATTTTTTTTAAGCTTAAGTGAACAAGGCCTAAGTCAATGATATATGCATTGTTAGATGATTAAGGTATTTAATGCATTTATTTACAAATTTGCGGAATACATGGTGCATTTAAAGGTTTTCAGGGGTACCCGAAGCATTTTTTTTAAAAAAAAGGGAAATTCTCACCGGTAACACCCAACTTCCGTTTTTTCTCAATGGTAGATTATAATATTTTGGATTATCATTGGTAATCACCAATTAGTAATACTAATTTAATGGTAACATTAATGAAACTTTTACCTAAATCCTTAACCATGGTTACTATGTTAAGTGAAAAATTAGCTACGAAATGACTCAATTGCCCCTATTTATTTCCCTTAACCACTTATGTCTAATCAAATAACTTCAGGGCTTCATCCAGTATACTAATTTCCAGTCAGCTTGCAAATTCTGTTGTTAATCTAACTGGAAAACAATTGAGTATTGTCGCAGATCCCGGTGACTCATTTCCTATAGCTGACCTCCTGTCTCAAGAACCTTTCGCTGGAGCATTTTGTTTAGTCATGGTAGTATTAAGAGAAATTGAGAAGAAAAAGAACAAGGAGTACGAATAGAATTGGGTTATTTAAGGTTTATATAAAGGGGTAATTGATTAAGGAGGGAAAGTAGCATATAACTTTGGAGGGAAGTGA